GATGGACAGGATGGGCCCGGCAGGCGAGAACTTCTCGTAGAGCATGGCCTCGGTCACGTCGGGGTGCAGGTCGCCCACGTAGAGCGAGGCAAGCGGGAAGCCCGGGCCGCTGGCGTTCATGGTGGGCCGCGGGGGAAACAAGGAGTCGGCCAACGAGGCCCCGCACCCAACGCCCGCGTGGATCTCCCGCGCGGGAACCTCGGCGGCGGCGGGCGCGCGGGAGGGACAGGACTCTGGCTCCGGGGGCTGGCCACCCCCCCTTTACCATCCCCGGCGCCCCGCGCGCCAATCGCATACGCTCGGGCCCCTCCCCTCTTAGCCCCCCACCTGGGACCCCGCTGCTTTCTAGAAGCCTCAGGTGGGCGTCACCTCCGGCCCCGCCTCCGGAGGCGGGAGAGCCTTCACCTGGCCTGGTTGGAGCGGCGGAGCCGCAGTGGAGCTGAACCCTCTGGGAGGGCCTGAGGCCTGGGTTCTGATCCCCAGTGATTGCCTTTCTGGGCCTGCTTGCCTTCTCCGTCAACTCCCTCTTCGAAAGGATTAAAGGTGACCGTACATTGTTAGCCTTCCGAGAGCACTCGGAGGCGGATGCCTGGCTAGTTTCAAAGGGGTGTACCTGGCCAGCGGAAAGGAGTCTTTTTCTCAAGACAGCCCAGATCTAGTTCCACCCTTCTGGCTTTGTGACTTGGGACTGAAGGCTCCATGTGGGAGTTAGAGACCACTAAGGCTTTCTTTGACACTGCCTCTTACGTTGCCAAGACCTTTTGCTGGAATAATCCCTGCCCACCTCTCTCATAAAGAATCCATTCCACTGGCACACCACCAGGAAGGTTCACCAAGTTACTTGTGATCCAGCCTCTATGGGAACAGTGAAGATCTAACAGGTCAGGGTGGTGGTCCCAGGATGAGCAGCAAGTCCCCTCTATCAATCTTGAGTTTGCAGCTTCAATCTGTGGTGTGGTGTCATTTCTGAATTCCAATCCACTGTGGGACAGCACTTCACCCCGCCTCTCAGAGGGTGGTTGTTTTTTTTTGTTGTTTTTTAATATCTTTATTGATTTCAGAGAGAGGAAAGGAGAGGGTGAGAGATAGAAACATCAATGATGAGAGTCATTGATCAAGCCCACAACCCAGGCATATGCCCAGACCAGGAATCGAACCCCGATGCCTGGATCCTAGGTACACGCTCTACCCCCCCCCGAGGCACGCCTGGCCGGGCAGGGACTCTCTTGATTTCCATTTCAACAAAGCAGGTAGGTTCCCACTGACCTTTGGCTGGGTGTGACTGACGGGCAGAACAGTTCCAGAACCAAGGGCAGGAGCTAGTCCAGCTGCCCAACCTACAGTAGCAAGCGAGCACCAACCAATTATAATCTTGGGCTAAATACTACCACCCCCATCCTGATTTTTTCCCTTGTGGGAAATCCCATGACAAAACACAGTGCTGCAGGCTACCATGAAGTGTTGGGACAGATGACACTGGTATTACTTTGGAGATGACCAGGCCTTATGTAACCATCTCTCAGTGTCTTGGTTACATCTCAGGGTTTTAGGAAAGGG